CAGATCTCATTAAAAGTGACATTTTAGGAAAAAATGCCACCTTCGCCACAATTACAATTTGGGTCGATGTCACAATTAAGCTTTTTTTTAAGCTACTCTTTGGTTGCCATTGAACTTTACGGCGTAAATTTTCAAGAGTTCGCAAGCACTGCCTAAAGTTCATGAAGTGCTCGTTGACAACGGATGAATGTTATTATCCCAAGCAAGCAATAGACCGCATTGCAGTTAGTAAATGATTGGAAAGAGAATCCTTGTATTTGTTTTTTGAGCCAATCGTGGACAAAAATCAAAATAGTGCATGATCACATGACGGGTGTAATTTTTGAAATAAAAGATACACCTTGAAAGTTTCTAAAATTCCAATGTAAGAATATTCTTGTCATGAAACCAAGTTTCTCTCGAGTACTAGGTTCAAAGACAAGTGATGTTACTCATCTTCAAGTGAGATTTTGAGGAGTAATACAATTCACGTCACGTGGATTTTGGAATTTGGCACTATTCAGTTGAAGTCTAATATGGTTAGTATCAAGAACCTTGAACTCATTTATTCTCAAAGTACTAGCTCTATGTGCTTTGAATATACTCACGGTGAATGATCATGGACTCCTCTAAATTCTTGTTAGCTTTCGATGGCTATAGCTGTTACTTGAACATAACATGAGGGCAGAAACCTAAGTTAGACAGAACGTAGAAACAACACTGCCTGCAGTTCTCGTGAGATAATCTCAATCTCTTAATGGTTTCAAGACTGCCACAGAAGTTTTTCATAACAAATTCCACAAATGCCACTTTAAAGAAATTTTTGGTGCCACAATTAACAAAAAGGTGGCAAAAGTGGCAATTGCCACTTTTAAAGAGGTCTGGGTTACGGGCTAATATTGAAGTGAGCTAATATTACTTGCTTGGTACAATGCACTACCCACGCAAGACGTGATGCAAACCAATCGACGAGTCTCATGCTAATATTGCGTGCTTGGTATTATGCACTAACCACGCAAGGCCTTATGCCAACCAAACGACGAGGGTCATGCAAACTTCTCGATCCTGTTGGCTCAACTCGGAGAAAAGGATGGAAGGGAACATAGGGGACTGACTGCGTTCTAGGGCCACATTGCCATGTGACTGTTCTAGTTATTGGCCAACGGAGTAGCGACGAGGCACGAAATGGTGAGAATCCGGCTACTTCAACTTTGTACCCACAACAACTATGCTAATGCTATGTGTTCCAAGGTTTTGTCTTCTTAGTGGATTTCATACTAGGGTTTTTGCTACTTGCTTACCATAGCCAACTTGTATGCTTGTGGATATCTGTTTGACCATGTATCATGACTCTTTACTCGCTTTGCAATTGAATTAGTTTAGGTTGTACTTATACTTAGTTAGTTTGTACGTTTGTTACACCTCTGTGTTTCACATATCTAGTTCCGCATTCTATGAATTGTGTTTGAAAAGGGAATCATTCTTGAATCATATGATGAGGGGAGAGTGGAGCTTTGGGTTTAAGTTGGACCAAAGATCTTTAAGTTTAAAGGTTTGCTACTCTAGCTTTAGAGCCAGGGTTTTGGGTTTTAGTATGAACTATCGTTTCCAGCTTGGAAGCTCTTACGAGAAATTGCTAAAGATGTTATCCCTCTAAGTAACAACGAGTATTGCCTTCTTTGATGTACTAAAGTATTTATTTGTGTCCTTTTATATTTTTTCCTCCCTATTGTTGTCATTAGCAACCAGTTTTCGTTACATAATCAGAAACGAAAATTTGCGTTCTATTTAACCAAGCGTTATGACATACTGGAAGTGGTTCCCCTGGTAAATTATCAATAGTTAATCGGTGACATGCAATCCAGAGAAAAGGATTCAATATACTTGATTTTTTTGGTGTGGCAGCGTATTGTGTAGACCTTGTGACCTAGATATTCAGATTACTCTCGGTAGTAAGACATTGCTATGATGTTGAATTCTTATGTCAATTTTGTCTCTTGATTTCATTGAACTAAGATTTTATGTGTTATTCAGGTTTTTTGCTAGTTTACTTATATTTCCTTACTAGTTTTTGATGTTCTACTCAGTACCCTTGTCCTTTTCAGGGCTGAAATGAGTGTCTGTCAGATTGGGTATGAGCAAATAAATTACATACTTGGAGTTCGAGGGAATATTTTAAAAGTTTTTGGCTTACATTGAATTAAACTTCTGTTATTCCTCCCGAATGTACGATAAAAGATTTGCTGGGGATGGAATTGTAACGAGTCCCACTGGCATTGTCTACTCCACTTGTAGCTCGTGGGGGTCAGCTTCGAGGTACAAAGGAAACCCGGAGAGAAATCAGAAACCAGACGTGTACGATCTCCAAGTCAAGTCTTGAATGTAGCGGAATGTTGGGTGGAGTGTGAATGAGACGTGAGGTTTCAAGTACAAGTGTCGTGTCCTGACACGCGGTCAAGAGTTGAGGGTGGAAAGCCTGTCAGACTTCATGATGAAGGCCTGACAACTCTGGGAGTCTTCGTAGCACTATCATACCCTGCAAGTTCATTGCCGGTTACGCCCATCATCGACCCGCTGAGAGTCTCCGTCATGGCAGGACCGTACTCATTGAAGGTACCTGCTACTAACTATACCTACAGGACTGGTATACTGGGAAGGCAAGGTAACAAATTTGGGTTGTGAGATCAGTTACTTCCGTCTGCCACTAGGGATCCGAAAGATCCTGGAAAAAACAGCTTCTTTTCGTAGAAGAACTTTGATAACATATCACTAGACGGGGACATTGTATGGCCTCGAAACGGACTCCTTCTCCCTTTCTCGATCTATCTAAAAAAGGAAGGGATTTAGATGAGTTAAGCATTCAAAACTGCCCGTAAGAGCCATCAGCTTCTCCGAACATGGGTTGAAGACAGTTTTGATTCCCGTATCAGAAATGAACCACCATTTTTTGCAAAGGCTAGGGGAACCCAAATAGATCCGAAACTTCTTGATGATGATGGGATGAATTTTGAAAGATATCACCCAAAGCTGTTATTTTGTAGTTGTTTACGAGATGCCATCCATGTTTCTAACCGGTATATCCAGGCATGGATATAATAGTCATTGGCCTAAATTGCCTAAATATGTATAATTTAGTGTCTTCGAAAAAATTACTTTAGTCTACTCAAAAATATTAATTAAGGCAAATTTAGTCTCTTTAAAACGTTAATATAGTCTATCAAAAATATAATTTAGATCAATTTAACTTCGAAAATTTTAATTTAGGTTAATTTGGTTTACTAATTTTTTTTCCAAAAATTTTTGTTTTTATAAAAAAAAATTACATTAATTTAGAAAAAATCAAATTTGAAATCCATCAATTCTGCATACGTGTCCACTCTCCATTGATTAAAACTTGTTACTACCAAATCGCAGCTCCCTTAATTTAGTCGCCTAATCACCATATAGTTTAGGTAATTTAGGCGAACGTATATACGGTCGCCTAATACAACCATGCCTGGGTATATCCATTCGAATGTGTACTCCTTGGTGTAGGCTAACACTTCAAGATGTGAAAAAACTTCATCAAACTGCCAATGTGTGCAAAACTTATGGATACAAAGTAATCATGCATAAAAGATAGGAAGACCTTACCATGTCTTACAAGAAAGTGTGAAAAAGTAACTCAAATTATCACTTTGGGATTATTGAAACCCCATTCACATCAAAAGAAGCCTTCTCATTGGCCATTAAACGAAAGATTCTACCAGATGTTGTGGAGGTCTAACCTCGCTGCAAGCTTCACGGTGTCAGTTTTGTCCTTTAAAGGGTATATTATAATTAGAGGTATTACTTCTCTACGAATGATTATGCATGAAAGAAAGTTTGAAGTAAACCGGATCCAACAACAAATTCAAAAGAGAATTCGATTTACATGTGAAAAGAGTGTACAGTACTATGCAGATAGTGACGATCTTACTCCCAAACTATATCGTGGTTCCTTCAGATAAACAATGAAAAATCATTTTACAATAAAAGGGGTGAGGTAAAATGTTCAGGGAATCCGCGTGACAGTTCAGCGTGTAAAATCGGGGACGATCCTCGTGGATACACAGGAGTACCGTATGGAGAAAACGACATCTTACTTTAAGACGTAGAATGACTCCGAGGCGGTGGTGGAGACTCGCAGAGGTTGACATGCAAATGAACCAAGTGATGCCTGCGGTGTACATGCCGTCGTACGTCTTGTGCCCCAATAATTTTTCATGTCATATGTATAGCGTAGAGCGACTAATAAACCAAATTCGTCACCTCACCGCCGTGCAGAATCGCTTCTATCAGTATGTCGCCTATGCTAAAGTAGTAAGAGAGGCGCTCCGAGGCGTAATATTGTATATACACGTACTCTCCTTCAAATATCGGCCTTTTATTATCAGGCGCTCTGAAGGAATGTGACCATTTTCTCACGTGCGAACTTTCTTGAGGTTGTGATCATGATCACATACAATTTACTCTCTTTTATACCGTGAGGATATATTTGAGAAGGAAGTCCACATTCGCTAATAGCGACGACATGAATGTACACACCAGCCTGTACGTAGATTCACTGCGGGCGGTGAATCGGAAGGGATTGGCTGTCTTAAGGGATTACGACGGCCAAGTGATATAAGCACACGCAAAAACCTTCATTTTGTAATTTGACATTCTCACAGCTCATCAAGAAAAATCGCGCTAATGCAAGGTCCGTGAACTTCCCTACAAACTGTTCCATCGACGAGAAGTTCATCGATCGTCCGTATCGGACCGGACGTGCTTGTCCCGCTTTTTTTACGCATGAAATGAAGATTTCATTCTCGTTGAACCTTCTCGAACCCAGATCAGTAAGCCTATATAAAACAAAACCTAAACATAAATAGAACACCGTAGTAAAAGGTGCTACAATATTAGCGATTTCGCCTCTCAGGCGTACGAAGACCAACCCTGCAACTTAAGACTGCAGTAGTGCTATTAATATACAGGATTCCGATACATGCCAGGGCTCAGACACAGTATAAATACTCCCTCATGCAACTCCTCGCATTATTTGGTGACCATGGTGTCTCGCCGAAGAGTTGGAGGGTAGAGCTTGGGCATCCTTCAAGTCATAACCCCAGCACAGCCCCCTCTGGAACTCCTGGCGGCGCGTGCAAGGTGGCGGGAGGACTCGACGAAGGTCTGAGTTGAGCTGATCAGCAGCTTTTGTGTGTATCTTGTCAACAGGTGGCAGGCTCTTTCTGGTCGTTTGTACTGTTGAATATTTCTCGGGCACTTCGCTCCTCGACTCCAGAACTTCAACAGAATCTGTGTGCCTTAAATCCTAGTGAGGCCGTCGGCAGCTGGAGAACATTTGAACTTTCGGGTGCGAGGGAAGTCAGAAGCTGCTCCTTTTCACAGCGAGGGTTCAGTGGACAACTAGCTCTCCCACGAAGACGTTTCTTTATCTTTCTTCTGTCACCAAGTCTGAGCTGGGCAGCGGGGATTCTTGAGCGGTGGTGTAGAAGATTTTGAATCGCCGCGAGCTCGAAGGAAGCGACGCGAGGCACTACACTGCATTGAGTCGGGATATAGTGTCTGAAGTCTATCAATGGGAAACAGAGGAGCCCGACTGTGTCTGATCCTGCTATGTTTCATACCTGTTCTCGTGGAAGGGCGGGCAGGGAGCAAGGGGAAGAAGTTTCATACGCTCCAAATCAATGGCCCGCCGGATTACAGCTCGAGGGTAGCAGATGCAGCGACGTTTGCGGGCAGTACACAATCCCAACACGACAAGTCCGATGGACTTGTAGTCGAATTGTGGCACAGAAATTCGCCGAATTCACCATTTCTTCCCAAGGATGCGAAGCACGAAGACCTCGTGAAGCAGAGTCTTCTGAGGGACAAGCAGCGTCTCGCGATGTTTTCCGACAAGATTGAAATGGCGTCCCGAGGCCTAACGATGAACGACCTCAGCGTGCCCCAAGACCCATCGTCCATCAGTGTGGATACAAGTTCTGATACCGCCAATCTGGTAAGCCCGGTAATATCAGGACTGACTCTTGGCAGTGGGGAGTACTTTACGAGGATGGAGGTTGGAACCCCAGGGGAAGGTACTTATCTGGTCGTGGATACTGGGAGCGACATTCTTTGGATGCAATGCAACCCATGCAGCCATTGCTACTCGCAGCATGATCCCATATTCAACCCCATGAACTCATCTTCTTTCGATGTGGTTCCTTGCTATTCAAGTTCCGGTTGGTGCCAAGCTCTAAACGTCGGAGGCTGCATAGAAGACAAGTGCCTCTATCAGGTGAGTTATGGAGATGGTTCCTTTACTATCGGGTACTTGTCATCGGAGACCTTCACCATGGGCACTACCAAAGGAGGAGATAAGGTGAAAATAAAAAACGTTCCATTTGGATGCGGATATGACAACGAGGGTCTTTTCGTTGGGGCAGCCGGAATTTTGGGCCTGGGGAAAGGCAGTCTGTCATTTCCTAACCAGCTGGAATCTCGATACTCAAGGAGATTTTCCTACTGCTTGACCAACAGGGAGAGTGGGGAGAAGACATCTAGCTCGCTGATATTCGGAGACGCTGCCATCCCTACGGGTAGTTCAAAAATAAAGTACACACCCCAGCTATTCAATGAGAAAATTCCCTCGTTTTACTACGTGGGGCTGACGGGCATCAGCGTGGGTGGTTCATTGCTGGAGATACCGTCTGAGACCTTTCAGCTGAAGACGAATACTGGCAAGGGAGGAGTCATTGTTGATTCGGGGACTTCCATCACCTGGTTCAATTCTGCTGGTTACAATATTGTGAGAGACGCGTTTCGGGATGGAACTGAAAATCTTCCTGGCACTACTGCCCCATTTGACCTTTTCGATACTTGCTACGACCTGTCGAACTTCACGTCCGTGGAGGTGCCTACCCTGACGTTGCACTTCGAAGGAGGGGCGGAACTCGACCTGCCAGCCAAAAATTATGTCATCCCGGTGGACGAGATAGGCAGATACTGCCTGGCATTCGCGTCTTCTTCGAGCAATTTTTCAATCATCGGAAATGTCCAGCAGCAAAATTTCCGTGTTGTGTACGATAATGTGGAGGGTCGCATCGGTTTCGAGCCGGACCAATGCTACTAGATATTTTCAGGGCAGGTTGAATCCACTTGAGGCCCCATACAAACTGGACAGGCGTGGAATTGGAGCTGAGAGGAAAAGTATCAGGAAGAGCGATGGAAATGTTCAGCGAGAAGCGTCAGCATTGGTAAGTATTACGTCAATAGTACTGCCTTAACAGCTCCTTGCCAATCATCCTAGTTCGTTAAGTACTAAGTAGAGAAGTAATGTTATCCCAGAATTTGGCGCACGAGGCAGATTTTGCCTGCGTAAGCCGGAATTTAAATGTGATGCTGGAGGAAGCCAAATTTGGTCAATTTGATAGACCAGTGTCTCCGCTTGGAGCCAGACTCTGCTTGCATTGAAAAGGAACCAGAACCATTATTGATCTTCTTGATGATGGTGGAAGCTATATCGGATATAGCTTTCTTTACGTTGGTATAATCTACGTAGTTAGATTTGCTGCATCTATCATGTAATCAGCCTATGGATGCAAGTAGAGAGCAATTATGTTAGAAAACCTTGCATAAACGGACTGGGAGGCAGGCTTTTAAGTGTTTCTACTTGACTGGGTGTAGGATGGAGAGGCAAAGAAGAGCAAGAAGGAGCTAAAGATGGAAGCTGAAGCAAACCGAGTGCGGGAGGCAGCTTTAGCTCGAGATTTCTTCCGAAAGTTTTGGCCAGAAAATTTGTGAAAAGCATGTGTCACTTTCTCCACAGAGTAGAGTCTCTGTCCTGTGTAAACCTCTGCCAGTTGCTCAGTTACCATTTTGTTGTCAGTAGGTAATCGTATATTCACATATGGAGTCCACAATGTTCTGAAGGTTGCCATTGCACCCAAACTCTGATTGTAAATATATCTCCACCTTGCAACATCGCCTGTGTGATATCTTTGCATCTGGACTTCTGTCTGATCACACAGGGTAAAGCAAAGTCCAGTAGCAGTACCGAGAGGCCACGCCCAAAGTTATGCCGTGGGGCAATTTCCTCCTTGCTCGTGAGCATCATTATCGGCAAATTGCAGTTGGTTCCTCTGATATTGTCGTCTTGTAAGAAGATAGAGCCTTCGGTTACTCATCTGGATCTTGATAAAGCAGTCTCTCTCGTACTGTCAGAGAGCTCATGGTCATATCAATTGCAGAACATCAGTGACCAATGCATGCTGTTGTCGAATACGTTTTGCACCAAGAAAAAGAACACCCAAACTCGTTGGTCTGAAGAAGTGTATGATGCTTACCTAACCTCCCGACAGTTTCTCTACCTACTACGAACGCCACGCCAGGTCTTGACCTGACCTGATTTGAGTTAAGGCACCAACTTTGCATACGTTCACTGATCTGGAAATTCACTCGTGCACAACGAATTTTTGGCAGTATCATTTCATACTTGCAAATATGGTTATCAGACCATTCACGATCACGAAATAAAGTAGAAACCAAGATAAAGAAGGGAATCACGAATATATTACCAGTATCGACCATTCAATACGAGCATTTATAACTTTGCGCATATGAATAGAAGGGGAAAATATATAAGTCTACCCATTCATAGAACGTGAGCTCGAGCTAGACATTCTTCGTTTCTCGACGACATAAAGTTCTGTACATTTCAGTAAACTTAGTTGAGCAGATGTTAGATAAATAGGTCATGTTGTATAGAAGCTTCGGCTCAGCTGTACCAGCAGCACTTTAGAAGTAGGACGGTACAGGCGGTAACTACATTCTGCAATGTGAAAGTGAGTGTTGGCGGAGTTTCCTCCAGGAATCTCTTGAGCGTTTAAAAACTTTACACAAATTTGATGGGCACGGCTTTGGTGATTTTTTCCGCCTGTCTTCGTATTTGAAGATGCTCAATTATTTGAAACATCCAGTTCATTTTTCTCGGAAAAATGTGTACGTGAAAAATTCGTTCTTACCGTGATACTTTCAAGTTGCATATTATGTTGTGTCGTACGCTTACGTCGTCTTGAGTTCGTATTTTATAGGTGTTTTTTTGTTCGTTGTTTCTTGTCATACATTACTTCAGCATGTATGACAAGCTCATTTGACTTTCCCCATAAATTATGCGCGAACTTCGGAGAATTGTATTTTTCACAACCAAAAAACCCTCTGGCTTTGTTGACACATGATTATTTTCCAGCCTCACTTCACCACATTAGGACTATCGTTGGCAGAGTTTGCTACCCAGTAGAGTGGCTTTTGCCCCTCGTTGTAGCCTCAATTAGAAACCCGTCCATAGTCTGCAGACGTAAGCAATCGAGCAAGCCTTGTCTAGTATTCTAGTTTAGTACATGAAAACTAACAGCATGAAGCCCAACCTAAAGGGCAATATTTGGATAATCACAATGCTAATGACTTTGGAAATACCTTGCAATATAGCTTGTCTCAAATTATACTGTATTGTGCACAACCTTTTCGTTCTTTGTCGGCCTTGATTTCAAAAAGAAATATATATTGCCCTCCTCCTCTCTCTACAAAGAAAGATGTCAGATGCGAACGCACTATTCCCTCTGTCATCGCGACGAGAGCTGAACTAGTCCTCATGCAGAGTCTAAGCTACGTCGACCTTGTTGGCAGCGCAGTCCACAGAACTGATGACAAAGTCGTAATGCTCTCGTAACATTCCACAACATCGCCTCGGCCACGAAGCTGAAGCCCGGACAGCCTAGCTGCCGCGCACTGCGAGCAAAGCACCGGGACGCCCACCCTCGTCACTAAGTGCTCCTCAAAAATGAGGGAACGCGACCTCTGCCCGCAGCCCGACCCCCCCTCCTCACCCGGGCCCACATCCCGACCCCCTCCCCCCGCAACCAGACACCCTCCCCCGCAGCCCGACCTCCCGGTTACTAGTTATTAGTTGTGGAGACCCTCCCGCTTTAGCTCGCCCATCGGGCTCTTTCTCTCGCGGCCTCCCTTTCCCGCAGGGAACTTGTACTTCGTAGTTTTTTCCTGCCCCATGCCCCAATTCTCCTCCCCTCGCAAAGGGGAGGAGAACACTCAATACTCTCATTCTCTGAACTTACATGGCCAGACGAAGTACATAATTCTCAACACCATTGTTGGGCTCGATTGTTATTGCCAGCGTTTTTGATTAATCAGAAGTTTGATTTTTCCGATTTACTGCTTGAACGCAGCGCCTGCCTGCGTCTAATTTTTCCAACCAAATCTCCGAAATGGAAGACATGACATGCCTCGCAATACATTTGTCGTTCGCAGTTCTCTTCAAATGTGGGACAGAATCAGAAGGGGCTAAACTATTTAATAAAATTTAGCGTGAAGGACTCGGTGACTGGCATTGGCAGAACAGTGGACGCAGACATTTTGCGAAGCGACGGGAAAGGGAAAGTGGAGTGATCGGGAGGCGGCCATCCCTAGTCGGGCTGGGGGGAAGGGGGGATGGGGTCGGAGGCGGGGAGGTCGGGCTGCGGGCAGAAAGCCCGGGCGGGCAGAGGTCGCGTTCCCTCATTTTTGAGGAGCCCTTAGTGACGAGGGACGCCCACCATCTTGATATGAACGAAAAAGCACAGCTAGTGCTGCTGAGATGATTCAGATGGATTTGTACCTGTTGAGCCGTGAGCACATGTACCTGCCGCCAGATCTGGCAGTCCGTTGCAGTACAATGCTCACCAGCTAGATTACGCTAGCTGAAATTATGTAAGACTTGAGGCACCTGATTCAGGAACCTGAGAGCAGGTAACTACTTTGAACTCCATACTAACATGGAGCGGGACTGCAGTGCTGGGAGTCATGCTTGGTATGTATCCTGGGCAGTAGGCACGATTATCGAGCCTCGTCGAACTCACGGCAGTTTGGTAAGATATCTTAGTGACACTCGTCACAATCATCAAAGCCTCTTGCTTTTGGTGTGGGATGGGAAGGTCTGCGCAAGTACTATCCGAAGTTTGGAACTCCCTGCTTGGTTGCAGCGAGGACAGGGAAAAAATTCAGTTTGATGTTGGACATGGGAGATGTGTCAGTCACCAACCCTGGTTTGTCCCATCCTACTGTCAATGTTTTGTGGAGGATGAAGTACTTGCTTGGCGTGAGGGGAATCCAGATTGGCGATCGAAGTGAGAGGTAGGAGTGCGACATGACACGCGACACTTTTCTTCCTTCCAAGTCTTTATTAAGGAGTGAGTTTGCAGACTCTGCTTTTCTGTCCTGCCATAAGGATATGTGAAGGTTTGTGCTGAAGGCTTCTACATCTAATATGAGCACTGTACTAGTGTTACATAGGTGTTACTCGTAACTTCTACTTCTAGTATGAGCACAAAACATTACTTACCAGAAGGCTTAAGCGTATGTATGTGTATATGTGTGTGCTTCCAAGCTCTTGGGGGATGAACTTTGATTATTCTCCACTCTTTGTAACAAAACAATAGCAAACTATTTGTAGGATAATTTCTTGGATATGGTCTCTTGATATTTTACATAGCTTGCTTTATGAAAAGTCTTGCTTGCTTTCATGTATAGTTGATTAGAGTGGAATGTGATATTGGCATCTGGTCCTAGACGTGGCCGACGAAGAATTGAAACTACTTTTGTTTCTTGTGGATTAAGTGGGTCCCAAGCGTCACTTAGCTTCCTAATCGGCTCAAATCAAAGTTTTTTTTCATTTATTAAAGTTGATAGAAAAGGCATGTTATGCAAAACTAAATGGGATGTTAACTCGAATTTATCAATTAAATGCCCATAAAATCGCCAATAACTGAAAAAACGAATCTTATAGCAATCAAAACAACGGGTTAGATAACACTAGCCTCAATAGCATCACAGATTACTTCCTATAGAACAGTCTACATCTAAGTGTCTATATATTTCTCGAGCATCTGAATGATTATCACTCTCTCGGTCGATTATACCAACTAATGTTTTCTAATAAGATTATATTATATGAACAGTATAAAAATTGAACTATACAATGTGTTTAAAGTATGTTATCTCAAGAGAGAATTGAACTGCTAGACAATCAAAGAGTTGAACAAATAAATTCCGCGCCCATAGCAAGATATGGATGTGGACCTCATTGTCTTTGTAACTATCACATGACAAGGGGTGCGGAAGAGGAAGGAAGGTACCCATAAGTAAGGGGCTAAGGGCAGTAGAACCGTAATTCGGTGAGGGTTGTCTGCAATCCATTGCACCTTGAAAAAGCCAGAATGTTTCTGCCAAGGAATATAAGTTCTAGTACTGTACCAACTGGTGTAATCATGATGCACATTGTTCTCTATTGTCTGGCATTCTGGATCAGATCATTGACAATTGAGTTCTGACTCAATTACAGACTACACCCTAGTCTATTCATTTTTTAACTTGTGTAGATGTCGCTTCCCTCTAGATCTCATGGCCCACCTCTTCCTGCCCAGGTATTAAGGTTCAGCAATTGGTACAGTAGTTCTTGTTATGTACGTGTCTTCACCTGAGTTTACACGTGCCTCTAATCTACATGTCCAGCCAGCTTTCTATAAACTTTTTTGCTACTGTAGATCTCCTGTGCACACTCTTCACAGCTTTCACTTCTTGTCGACTACGCATTCTCCCTCCTCTGCAGGGTTCTATTATGAGACCCTGCAAATGCGCTATAGTTAGTGCACATACGTCCCCTTTTCGCAGAGAAACTTTTGCTTGATTTGACATAGCAACTTTAGATCATGAGGATCGGGCCGATCGCCTTTCAGTGAATAGTGAGACCTCACGTCAGAATCATGTTTTCTTCTGGTTATCTACTCCTTGTTGAAAGTAAACTCCAAACAATCAAAACCACATATTTCTTTCTGCAATTTGTAAATGTCCAAATTTCAACTTTGTATGTTTGAAATTGGAAATTTTGAACCTTTCGCATACATCATGAAAGACCTTAGAAGATCATGTAAGGAGTCCTTATAATAGTACATATACTTCTTTATACTTAGGCAAAATCATTGAATTTAATATTTGATTTTAACATAAGAATGTGTAACTTGCATTCACGTGTTACTTTCGTACAACAATCTCGAATATGAGAGAGTTCACTTACTGTCATCATATGTTACATGATACATGGTGCAAACATATACAATGATGTCGATCAATCTCATAGAGAGAACCACCTTCTTCT